TGGGTATGATCCTGGAGACCAGGGATCAAGTCCCACTTCGGGCTCCCTGCGTGGAGCCTGCTTCTCCCTCTGCCTGTGTCTCTGCCTCTCTCTCTCTCTGTGTGTGTGTGTCTGTCATTAATAAATAAAATAAAAATCTTAAAAAAAGGGGATCCCTGGGTGGCTCGGCGGTTTAGCCCCACCTTCGGCCCAGGGCGTGATCCTGGAGACCTGGGATCGAGTCCCACATGGGGCTCCCTGCATGGAGCCTGCTTTCTCTGCCTCTCTCTCTCCTCTCTCTCTCTCTCTCTCTGTCTGTCTCTGTCTCTGATGAATAAATAAATAAAATCTTAAAAAAAATCTTAAAAAAAGAAAAACAAAGATGGCTAGCCCCCATCTTCAGAGTTTCTGATTCAGTAGTTCTGGGATGGGGCCCAACAGTTTGCATTTCTTTTACTTGATTTTTAAAATTATGGTAAAATGTACATAACAAAATTTATGATTTTATCCATTGGTGGCATTAAGAACTTTTATGATATTAGGCAACTATCACCACTATTGATTGCCAAGCTTCTTTGCCATCCTTAACAGAAATTCTGTATCTATTAAATAACAACTCCCCATAACTCATCACTACCCCCCAACCCGCCCCCTGGTCACCTCTATTCTACTTCCTGTCCTCACAAATTTGCCTGTCCTAGGAACCTCATACAAGTGGAGTTTTACACTATTTGTCCTTTCCTGTCTGGCTTATTTCATTTAGCTTAATACAGTCTTGGTTCATTCGTGTTGTAGCCTGTGTCAGGATTCCCTTCCTTTTTAAGACCGAATAATATTCCAGTGTAGATATATACCATATTTTATTTAATCCATTCATCTGTTGATGGGCATGTAGGTCATTTCTATGTTTTGGCTATTGTAAGCCTGCTATGAACACTTACATACAAGTACCGAGTTGGTTTTCTGCTTTCAATTCTTTTTGGATAGACACATAGAAATGGAATTGCTGGATCACTCAGTAATTCCATTGAACTTTTTGAGGAACTGTCCCATTTTATATATAATCCCACCAGCAATGCACCAGGGTTCCAATTTCTCCACATCATTGTCATATTTGCTCTTTTCCTTTTAAAAAAAAAAAAAAAGAAAAGCAATTTTCATTCTAATGAATGTGAGGTAGTGTCTCACTGTGGTTTTGATGTGCATTCCCCTAGTGGTTAGTGTTCTGTGGGTCTTGATCCTATTATAGTAGTACCCCCCCATCAGCCATGCCTGCAAGTACTTGTTTGGGCAAGTATCATACTTTCTGGGAGCCCACAGCATTTCCCCTCTGGGCCTCTACTTATGGTGGGCTGGCTCTTATGGTTCATACCATGATCACAGGACACATGTCAGCAAAAACCAGCAGGGAGCTTCAAGGAACAATGTTTATTACCCATAATCCTGGAGGATACAGGGCATGCCCTGAGGGCTACCCAGCAAGATTACCAGAAAAGGGAGAGAGAAGGAACATAGACCTGGGTCTGCCTTTATTAGGGTGGAGGGTTTGGGTGCCTCAGGGTTTCTTGGGTTCACTCTTTATTAGCAAATTTAAAACATAAGAGCAGGAATCAGAGCATAGGAAGGGAGAAGTGGGGGTCATTCAACTGGTCAGTGATCTGAGTTGCCAGAGCTTTCTAAAAGGGGAACTTGTGGGAAGATGTGGCCTAGTTCTTTATCTGGTTAGTTTGCTAGTAACTGTGTCCTATACCTGTCAATATGTTTATTTAAGATGAGTGTCTTTTGAGGGGTGCCTGGGTGGCACAGTCAGTTGAGTGTCTGACTCTTGGTTTTGGCTCAGGTCATTATCTCAGGGTCTTGAGATCAAGCCCCGCATTTGGTTATGCCCTCAGCAGGCAGTCTGCTTGAGATTCTCTCTCTTTCTCCCTCTGCCCCTCTTCACCTGTCTTCCTCTTTCTCTCTCTCAAATAAATAAATAAATAAATAAATAAATAAATAAATAAATAAATAAAAGATGGGACCTTTTGAAATGGATACCTCAGCCATAAGGCCTAACGTCAGGTACTTACCCTATAGCTGGTGATGGTGAATACCTTTTCATGTGCTTATTAGCCATACAATATATAAAAATACGTATAATATATATAAAACCTTTTACATACTATATATAAAATATGTATGTATAGATATTTTTGAGAAATGTCGATGCAAATCCTATGCCCAATTTTGAATTGTGTTGTTTAGGTTGTTTGGGTTTTTTGCTGTTGTTGGATAATCTGCATTTTAACCAAATTTCCAGGTGATGCTGAATCACTGTTTTAGATTAGATTATGTATGTCAAACAATTAAATTCTAGCCTCATTTGTGATACTGAAATTGGATAAAATTTGCGTGGTACATGGTTTTAATAATTTCTTAGGTATCAAGCTTTTGATAATTAATCTTATGTGGAATTTCTGGGGGATTTTGATATATTCTCTTGTTCCCCATTCAGCAACAGTGAGAGTCAAGGCAGACCTGAAATGAAAAAATCCCACGACTATGTCACCTAACACCTTCAACCCCCAAAGATCATATCTGGATATTATAACACCCGGAAAATACATATCTTCCTAAAACTGGACAGGATGTTACTAATGACCTGAAGATTTAGGAAACTCTTGTTTGGATATCAGTATGGAGCCTCAAAACTCCTGATCAGTAGGAGTCATTTTATACACATGGCTTTTTTTAAAGAAAGAATAATTATCTTGAAGAACACTTGATTATTAGACTGAGTTGGAAGAATTCTCATTGGCCATGTGAATATGTAATTACCATGATTTATTTGTCAAGTACTGAGCATAGGTAAATTTCCTACACTTTTATTGAATTTGAGAAGTTAATTAGTATGAATATTTAGCAAAGCCCAGAGACCATTATATATGAAATATTTCCCTATAATTCTAATAAACTGATTTCAAAACCTATTAAGCTTGAAATTTCATTCAATAGTCCCCAAACATTTTTCCCTTTGGTTAATGGATCTCTGCACTTATCCTTCTCACTAAAATTATTCTAGGACTATTTAAAAGGTTTATAACAGTTCTTGCTGGACATAGATAATTAAGTTTATTTTCTGTGAAAATCTGTGGAACTGTCCTTTGGAATTAATGGAAAAGTATAATTTGTCTTATTATTGTTACTTAGTATTTATGTAGCACTTCATATTTCTAAAGTACTATATAATCACTAGTTCCTCTTGAGCTATTTTTATGCCATTCATTATAATGTCATTTTGATACAACATGTGATTTACTTGTGTCATGTCTTTTCATACATTTCAAGAAGAGACTAAAATGAGATGGGCTCTTGTAGTATCCTGGGTTGGGGTCCCCAAGATCACTCCCAGGTTTGATGATTCACTAGGGAGATTCACAGGATTCAACATCTAGCCACACTGACAACTATGATTTATTACAGCGAAAGGATGTAAAGCACAATTAGCCCAGGGAAAAGGCATGTCAGATGAAGTCTGGGGGAGACCAGATGCAGGTTTTCAGGGGTCCTCTCCCAGTGGATTTGTGCAGAATGCACTTAATTACTCCAACAATAAGTCATGACAACATTTGTAAAATGTTGTCTATCAAGGAAGCTCATTAGAGACTTATTGCCCAAAGCTTTATTGAGAGGTGATCACAGAGGCCAACTTTGGTTGGCATGTACCTTATATCAAGACTTTCCTGCCAGAAGGAAAGCAGGTGTTCGGCACTGTGATGATTAATTTTATGTGTCAATGTGACTGGGCCACAGTGCCCAGATATTTGGTCAAAGATTTGATGTTGCTGTGAGGGTGTTTTGGATGAGATTTACATTTAAATTGGTGGACTTTGAGTAAAGCAGATTATTCCCCATAATGTTGGTGGGCCTTGTCCAATCAGTTGAAGGCCAGGACAAAAACAAAAGACTGACCCCTCCCAAGCAAAAAGAAATTCTGCCAGCAAATGGCCTTTGGACTTGAAGTGCAACATTGGTTCTTCCAGGATCTCAATACTGATGGTCCACCCTACAGATCTGCAAATTTTGGACTTGCCAGCTTCCATAATCATGTGAGCCAATTCCTCAAAATAAATCCTTCTTCTCTCTTTTTCTCTGTCTCTATCATATCTCATGTCATACGTCATGTATATATTTCATACATATATCCCACATATATAAATACACGCACCCACATATATATATACACACACACACATATATATATATTCTATTGCTATTGTTTCTCTATAGATTCCCTGACTCATACAAGTATATGCCATATTGTTTGTACAGCTGAGGCACAATGAGCCACTCCACTCATTTAATGTTGAGAACACTCCTGAAACATAAATTCCCAGATGCCAGCCAAGGGCTAAGCCTGCAGCAGGCCTTTCCAAGGATAGAAGTTCAGGCCTGCTGGGTTAACTCTTTTCTTTTTACAGATTTTATTTATTTATTCATGAGAGACACAGAGAGAGAGAGGCAGAGACACAGGCAGAGGGAGAAGCAGGCTCCATGCAGGGAGCCCGACGTGCGACTCAATCCCGGGTCTCCAGGATCACACCCTGGGCTGAAGGCAGCGCTAAACTGCTGAGCCACCCGGGCTGCCCAACTCTTTTCTCATATACCTCCATCTCATATACTATATATAGAAAGAGACAAAAGGTGAGGGGTGGGGGAGGTTTTCTTGTCTCTTTGCTGGATCCTGTGCATGTATAGCTTATTTAAAAACTAGGGGATGGGGGAGAATTTGTGTCCATAGGAATGGAGGAACATTCTCATTAACGTATAAAACCATAAACCAGCTAAAGCATTCCCTATACTCACTTCCTGTTATTGTTTAGTATTTTCAATCTAGCTTAACATCTGACCACATTGTCCAAGTAAAGAAGCTGGTATAAAAAAGGGCTGATCCACCTTTGCCATCTTCAGATCTGTGCTGCTTATAGTTTCTGTCCTGTGATTTTTCAACAGATAACATAACTTCTCTTTTAACTCCACAGGAAATTCCATGCTTGAATGTGCCCTGAGATATGAAGCATGACAAGAACTAGCACCCAGTGGTCGTCAGAATAAAAATGCTTTGACAGCGGTTCCTTCAGAGGCTTGCCCCTCTCCCCCCAGCCATCAACGCTGAAGATGCTCCTAGGATGGAAGGATGGTGACTTTCCAGGCATAAGCACTGTTTTCAGAATCCATACTTGTTTACTCAACAGATGCACATAAAGAAGCAGACAGGGATGGGCAGGGGCAAAACACATGTTCGAATGCTTTGCCGTCTCAAACTTTTTTTTCTCAATATTTTGACAATGTCTTAACTATTCTCCTGTGTCTCCTCTCCTTATTTTCAATTTATTTCATATGTTACCATAGGAATTTTTCTATTAATATGGATCTAGTCCTATTTATTGCCTCAATCGATCTCCGGTAACCATGTCTGATCTACTGAATAAATTCTCAAGCCCTTGGCACTGCGTTGAAAAGATGTCATAGTGTGGCCTGAATTCACCACCACCCCCAGCCATATTTCTAGTCACCTCCTCATTAAGGATGGGTCGGTCATTCCACCTTTGACCCCTCAAATTTAAGAATTCATCAGACTGTAAAATTGTGTGGTTTTGTAAGACCTGCCATCAACAAGGACACCTGGGTGGCTAAGTGGTTGAGCGTCTGCCTTCAGCTCAGGGCCTGATCCCAGGGTCCAGGATCGAGTCCCACGTCGGGCTCCCTGCATGGAGCCTGCTTCTCCCTCTTCCTATGTCTCTGCCTCTCCCTGTCTGTGTCTCTCATGAATAAATAAATAAATCTTAAAAAAAAAAAAAGACCTACCATCAACAGGATATGTACATTTCAACTAAACCTGGTATTGAAATACATGAATGAGTGTACACACCATTAAGTGTGTTGCTTGATCAGTTTTCAACAAAAACATACCACTGTCACTGTCACTCAAATCAAAAAATAGACCATCACCTGCATCGCCCCTGAGCCTCTCCAGATCCTCTCTTACTCACTTCCTGCCCCCCCTGCCTTCTATCACCTGTGAGTCGTTTTTCCTGTTTTTTTTTTCAACTCTGTAGATATGGAATTGTACAGGAAGAACTCTTGTAATCTGGCTTATTTTGCTCAATATGTGTTTGTAAATTTTATCTGGGTCAATGTAACAGTTATTGGCTATTCTCATTGCTGCATCTCTTCCAATTTATGCTTTTTACGCAGATGGACATTAGATTACTCTCACTGCGCAGCTGTTAAGAATAGTGCTGCTCTAAACATTCCTGTATGTGTGTTTTGGTAACTGTGTGCATGCATTACTGTAGGATGTCTATCTCGGAATAAAGTTACTGGACCACAGGGGTATGAATGTCCCGAGCCATAGTAGATACAACCAAGCAATTTACTAAAATAGTTGTGCCAATTTATATTCCCAGGGGGCAATGAATGGGTTTTCCTTCATGCCAACACTTGATATTGTGGTTCTTTCTCATATTATCCGTGTTGGTGGATGTGTAGTGATATCACATTGTGGTTTTAATTTGTTTCCTAGCGACAACTGATATTGAGAAACTTTTCATGTTTATTAGCCATTTTGTTTTTTCTTTTGAGAACTGTTTATTCAAATCCTTTGCTCATTTTTTTCTATTGATTTTAGGATTCGTTTATCTATTAGGAGTTATATACCCTCAATATAGGGAATTTGGTACACATTCACATGCACATGTGTACATTTGTCCCATTCTTGCCATTTCACTCCCAGTGTTATTTTCTGAGAGATACAAGTTCTTAATTTTAATGACATCTACTGGTTTCATTTTTCTTTCTTTAAGGTCAGTGCTTTTTGTGCCCTGTTGAGAAATCTGCTTGTCATAAGTTTATCAAGATATTCCCCCATCTCGAGATCCAAGTCAGAAATCTAGACTTGATTTTTGTTTTCGATGTAAGGCGAGAATCAAACCATGGCTTTCGCATATGGATATTCTGTTTGACCCAATTTACTGAAAAATCCATCATTTCCCCTTTACACCGCAAAGCCACCTCTAACATAAGTCAGGGAGTTGCATTTGTTGTGAATCTACTTCTGGATTCTCTGGTCAGTTCCACTAGTCTGTTTCCCTATCCTGTGCCAACAACACACTGTCTTAATTACTAGGAACACTAAGTTGTGGCATTTGGTAGTACAGATCCTTCGGCTTTGTTCTTTCACTTGGTCTTGGCTATTCCACATTATCTGCATTTTTCCTATAAACTTTAGAGTCAGTTTGTAAATTTTCACAAAAATAAATCTTCTGGGATTTGACTGGTATTTCATTGGATCTAAATAACTATTTGTGAAAGAATTTACATTTTTATAATATCAAATTTTCCAAGGGTGCATATGGTTTATTCATTTATTGAGGACTCCTTTAATTATCATAAAAAATGATTTATAGTTTTCTGAGAAGAGTTCTAGGCTAACATATTGTTTAGGATTTTAGCATCTGTTCTCCTGAGAGATACTACCCTATAATTTTCCTTTCTTGAAATGTCACTGTTAGGTTATCTTGGCCTCATAAAATGAGTAAGAAGTGTTTCTACTCTTAGGTTCTGTGGAAGACTGTGTTAAGACTGGTATCATCCCTTCTTTAAGTATGTTTAGATGAATTAACTAGGGGGGGCATATAATATCTAACATGGTGAGAGAGTTTTAAATTGCAGGTTCAATTTCTTTAATAGATACATGTTTGAAATTTTATTTTTATTTTTTTTTTTTTTAGAGAGATTTTATTTATTGGGCAGCCTGGGTAGCTCAGGGGTTTAGTGCAGTCTTCAGCCCAGGGCATGATCCTGGAGAACCGGGATCAAGTCCCACGTCAGGTTCCCTGCATGGAGCCTGCTTCTCCCTCTGCCTGTGTCTCTGCCTCTCTCTCTATTTCTCTGTGTCTCTCATGAATAAATAAATAAAATCTTAAAAAAAAAAATAGAGGGACGCCTGGGTGGCTCAGCGGCTGAGCATCTGCCTTCGGCTCAAGGAGTGATCCTGGAGTACCAGGATCGAGTGCCACATCAGGCTCCCCACATGAAGCCTGCTTCTCCCTCTGCCTGTGTCTCTGCCTCTCTCTGTGTCTCTGATGAATAAATAAATAAAATCTTTTTAAAAAAGGAGAAAGAAAAATAAAAAAGATTTTATTTATTTATTCATCAGAGACACAGAGAGAGGCAGGGACACAAGCAGAGGCGGGAAGCCCAATGCAGGACTCAATCCCAGCAGCTAGGGATCATGACCTGAGACAAAGGCAGATGCTCAACCATTGAGCCACCCAGGTTTGAAATTTTAAATGTAACATTCTGTCAGTGTATTAAATCATGTTTTTCTTTGGATGTATACATCTTGTCTAAATTGTAAATGTGTTGACATAATGTTATTCATATTATCTTACCAGCTTTTTAAAAAGTTTATTTATGTATAATCTCTATACCCTACATGGTGCTTGAACTCATGACCCAAAGATCAAGAGTCCTATGCTCCACTGACTGAGCCAGCCAGGCGTCCCATCTTATCAGCTTTTAACATCAGTTTAATCTACAGTGATGTCCTTTTTAAATTTCCAGTATTCATAATTTGTGTCTTATCTCTCTTTTTCATGTCAGTTATGCTAAATATCTATTACCTTTAAATATGTTTCCAAGAACTAACTTTTAGCATTATTGATTTTTCTTTGCTTTATACTTTCGATTTCATTAATCTCCCCTCTTTGTTATTTCACATCTTCTTATTTGGATTTAATTCACTGTGTTTTAAAAAATTGTTTGTGGTGGATATTAGTAAGATATGCATTTAAAAACACTTTCTTTATAGTGTTTTGTGTTATCCTTCACCTTTTTCCCTATTGTGTTTTGTGTGACAAAAAGCATGTGTTTTCCAATGAAGGTCCTATAACAAAATAGGGATATAACTTGTTAATATGAAAATCTTTTTTTTTTTTTTTTTTAGAGGGCAGCTTCCATGTGTAGAGCTGTGGCCACAATTATAATCGTTAATGTAACAATTCAAAATATCGCCTCGTGGTCTAGTTTCTACATAGTAGGAAGTGACAAAACACTAGTAGATTTATTATTGGGCAGCGGCTTTGGACAATCTGTCATTTTTCATCTCCTTTTGAGGTTAATCTATTAATAGTACTGTTTTATGAACAAGGGGTGGTAGAAAGGGAGGTGGGCGGGGGGTGGGGATGACTGAGTGATGGGCACTGAGTGGGGCACTTGATGGGATGAGCACTGGGTGTTATGCTATATGTTGGCAAATTGAACTCCAATAATAAAATAAATAAATAAATAAATAAATAAATAAATAAATAAAAATAGTACTGTTTAATTTCAGGCACCTGGGTGGCTCAGTGGTTGAGTATCTACCTTTGGCTCAGGTCATGATCCTGGAGTCCTGGGATCGAATCCTGCATCAGGCTTTCTGCAGAGCCTGCTTCTCCCTCTGCCTGTGTCTCTCATGATTAAATAAATTAAAAAATCTTTGAAAAAAAAGAAAAAAGAACTGTATTAGTTTTCTAAGCCTGCCACAACTAACCAGCAACTGTGTGGTTTAGAACAACAGAAATGTATTGTCTCACAGTTCTGAAGGCTAGAAGTCTGACATCAAAGTGTCGGCAGGATAGCTCTTCCACTGAAACCTATAGGGAAGGGATCCTTCCTTGCCTCTTCCTAGCTTCTGGTAGTTTGCCAGCAATCTTTGGTGTTCCTTGACTTACAGTTGTATCACTCCAATGTTACATCCTCGCATGGCCACCTTCCCTCTTTGTATGTCTGTCTCTGTATTCAACCCGTACCTCCTTTTTAGAGAGTGGAGCAGGGGCAGAGGGAGAGGATGAGAGAGAGAATCTTAAGCAGGCTCCATGCCTAGTGTGGAGCCCGATGCAGGACCCAATTTCATGACCCTGAGATCGTGATCTGAGCTGAAATCCAGAGTCACACACTTAACCAACTGTGCCACCCAGGCACCCCTCAATTTTCTCCTTTTTAAGGACACTAGTCATGTTTGATGTAGTGTCATATTATAGCTTCATTCTAAACTAATTACCACTGCAAAGACACCATTTCCAAAGAAGGTCATATTCTGAGGTACTGGGGTTAGGACTCAACATGTCTTTTTTGAGGAATATAATTCAACCTACAACAGGGACAATCTCCGTGCTTGTTGAGAAAGCCCCACAGATGGGCAGATGGAAAGCCAGAGAATGGAGAGAGGAAGGAAAACCATCCCATAGCCAGGCAGCTAAGACACTCTCTTTGCATAGGGAGACAGATCCTTTCCATGGCTGACGTGCCACTCCACAGATTCACCAGCCTTCTTGGGTCATACGGTTTGCAACATGTGGCCATACTTGCTTTAGTTCTTGGACTGAACATCCGATCATGTGTAGCTCCCATATGCACAAAATAATTTGGTTCTGCGATTCAGATCTATCACTGAGGGGAAACC